TACATTTTTTTTTTTATTTACATTCATTCACTGTACATCATTATAGCATACAAAATGAGATTTTTCCATTGAGAATACACTGTATATTGGCTCAATCAAGCACATCAACATATGTGTTATTGTCAACAAATCATTTTCCATTTCTTGTTTTCTGTATATTTTGCCTTTTTTCCCATCCTTGATTCCCTATCTCGCCCTCTGCCATCTCCCACCCTCCTCCCACACTGTGTCTGGTATCTATTGTTGCTTTCTATGCCTCCCCCATTTCATTGTTTCACTAAATATCTTAATAAATCTAAATATTTTCAATAGCAAGCACAGCTGATATGTACATATCCATGAACACAAGACTGACTTTAGGCATAAACCTCAGTGAATAGAATGAACATACTGTAAAGTAGCACCTAACTAGGGCTATATAGCTTAACTGCAGTCATCAAATAGGTATTTCTAATGCCTTTTTTTTTTTCTTCTGAAAATTTTTTTTTAATGGCTAGATCTCAGGAGCCATGGAGCTGGCTGTCTCTTGAAGAAGGGCTGTTCACGCGAGTTTTGGATGCTGGAGGCCCAGTTATCAGTGGGACATCTTCCTTTCTCCCCAAATGGCTAGATCTCAGGAGCCATGGAGCTGGCTGTCTCTTGAAGAAGGGCTGTTCACGCGAGTTTTGGATGCTGGAGGCCCAGTTATCAGTGGGACATCTTCCTTTCTCCCCAAATGGCTAGATCTCAGGAGCCATGGAGCTGGCTGTCTCTTGAAGAAGGGCTGTTCACGCGAGTTTTGGATGCTGGAGGCCCAGTTATCAGTGGGACATCTTCCTTTCTCCCCAAATGGCTAGATCTCAGGAGCCATGGAGCTGGCTGTCTCTTGAAGAAGGGCTGTTCACGCGAGTTTTGGATGCTGGAGGCCCAGTTATCAGTGGGACATCTTCCTTTCTCCCCAAATGGCTAGATCTCAGGAGCCATGGAGCTGGCTGTCTCTTGAAGAAGGGCTGTTCACGCGAGTTTTGGATGCTGGAGGCCCAGTTATCAGTGGGACATCTTCCTTTCTCCCCAAATGGCTAGATCTCAGGAGCCATGGAGCTGGCTGTCTCTTGAAGAAGGGCTGTTCACGCGAGTTTTGGATGCTGGAGGCCCAGTTATCAGTGGGACATCTTCCTTTCTCCCCAAATGGCTAGATCTCAGGAGCCATGGAGCTGGCTGTCTCTTGAAGAAGGGCTGTTCACGCGAGTTTTGGATGCTGGAGGCCCAGTTATCAGTGGGACATCTTCCTTTCTCCCCAAATGGCTAGATCTCAGGAGCCATGGAGCTGGCTGTCTCTTGAAGAAGGGCTGTTCACGCGAGTTTTGGATGCTGGAGGCCCAGTTATCAGTGGGACATCTTCCTTTCTCCCCAAATGGCTAGATCTCAGGAGCCATGGAGCTGGCTGTCTCTTGAAGAAGGGCTGTTCACGCGAGTTTTGGATGCTGGAGGCCCAGTTATCAGTGGGACATCTTCCTTTCTCCCCAAATGGCTAGATCTCAGGAGCCATGGAGCTGGCTGTCTCTTGAAGAAGGGCTGTTCACGCGAGTTTTGGATGCTGGAGGCCCAGTTATCAGTGGGACATCTTCCTTTCTCCCCAAATGGCTAGATCTCAGGAGCCATGGAGCTGGCTGTCTCTTGAAGAAGGGCTGTTCACGCGAGTTTTGGATGCTGGAGGCCCAGTTATCAGTGGGACATCTTCCTTTCTCCCCAAATGGCTAGATCTCAGGAGCCATGGAGCTGGCTGTCTCTTGAAGAAGGGCTGTTCACGCGAGTTTTGGATGCTGGAGGCCCAGTTATCAGTGGGACATCTTCCTTTCTCCCCAAATGGCTAGATCTCAGGAGCCATGGAGCTGGCTGTCTCTTGAAGAAGGGCTGTTCACGCGAGTTTTGGATGCTGGAGGCCCAGTTATCAGTGGGACATCTTCCTTTCTCCCCAAATGGCTAGATCTCAGGAGCCATGGAGCTGGCTGTCTCTTGAAGAAGGGCTGTTCACGCGAGTTTTGGATGCTGGAGGCCCAGTTATCAGTGGGACATCTTCCTTTCTCCCCAAATGGCTAGATCTCAGGAGCCATGGAGCTGGCTGTCTCTTGAAGAAGGGCTGTTCACGCGAGTTTTGGATGCTGGAGGCCCAGTTATC